AAATTTTTTTTCAGAACGATGACAAAAAGATATTTAGGGAATATTCCTGTGAAAAAAACATTTCACAGTACCTAGATAGCATCATTTTTCAAGTACTAAGCTACTGGTAATAGGACCCATTAAGCTCAGAGCTCCAGCTTATTGGATTCTGATGATCTCCTTAGTCTATCTGGGTTTTGATAAGGACACTGGCGCCATTTTTTTTTTTTTTTTTCGAAGCTTGTGACTCACAGGTTAAATGTTTCCTTGACAGCCGCATTCAGAGCTGGTGTGATTCACATAAAAAATGATTGATCTCATACTTGTCATTAAGCAAACACATCGCTTAGGGACTCCTATGGAATCCAGTGTGAATAGCAATCAGCCTGCCTTATCCATAGCTTGTCTCTCTGCTTCATTATCAGTTGATAGCTATGATGCCAATACTGTTCCTGTTTTAAGTTAATCCTGTTTAGAATCCTCCCATTAACTGTTGATAAACTGATGTACATTGGAAGGAGGAAGGTTTTATTTTACCCTCTCTTAAAATCATATCCTTTCTCTTGAAATTATTTTTATAATTGGATGGTTTTTTTTTTTTTTTCTTTTGTATTAAATCCAGCAGCAAGGTTTTAGATACTTGACTTTTTTATTACAGTATGAGGAAAGAGAAAGTGAATTTTTAACTTAACCCCATTAATTGTGACATTTTTTTCTGGATTGCTGACTACCTCTTTATAGTTAATGAGGGTTAAAATAAAAATTCAGTTACAAGTTTTAATGCAGGATCTTCCATGTTTTGAGATTCTGTTGTGTTTAAAAAAAAAAGCAAGGAAAAGAAACCATGCATACCATGGTATTTACAGAAAGGAGGCAGTCAGTACTGAAATGTTGAATCAAGCAGTGGTGAAACAAAAAGATAAAAGGAAGGTCTGCCTACTTATAAGTTGGCACAGCGTATTTTAAAGAAAAAAAGTAGGTCAATCCTAGGTGAATCCTAGAGACAAGAAAATTTGGTTTGCTTCAGTTAAGGGTGAATTGTTATAAGACCAAAAATAAAATAGCCATTCACATAGCAATCTTTCATACATAAGGTCTCTCTTTCTCTCTCTCTCTCTCTCTCTCTCTCTCTCTCTCTGAAAAAAAAAAAAAAACAGTCACAGTCACATTTTTCTCAATTATGTGGACTACTGTTTATCTATCTAAGGTCAAGGTTTATTCAAGTTAAGACCATCTTTTGACTGAAGTTTTTTGGTGAGAACACTCTTTGACCTGCCAACAGAGAATTTAGAGATAGAGAGGTCAGTCTCCAGGTAAAACCTTAGTATATCGTAGTAGATAAAGGGTTTTATGATGGACAAACATTTCCTCCTATTTCATGGCTGGAGATTTTTATCTCAGATACATCAGGCTCCTACAAGCCTATTATTTGTGATAGGTAGGAACTTTTACCTGGGGGACCATTTACACCAAATGACTCAATCCCAAAAAACTGGGATAAATACCAAGGGATAAATCTGCACTTCAGTTTTTTTCTTTTTTTCCCTATAAAAAGGTTGCATAGATTTTGAAATAGATTGTTTTAAATGTGCTGCAAACCCTAACACTTATGCCTCCAAGATCTCGACGAAAACTGGGAGTACATCAGGACGTCACTCTCGGGCTCTATTCCCAGAGCTTTTAGATCGATCTATCCCCGCGGAGAGTCTCACTAGATTACTGTCAGATAAACCGGCTTAAATGTCCGTCCCGCCTACTACAAGCTGTAAGGGGGTAATTAACTTTCGTGTCCGCTCGGCTGACAGCTATTTAGCGTGAACCCCCAGGGAGTTATGTCGTTCTAAAGTAGATCGATCTAATCTCAAGAAATGGGGTCTTGTATTTGGGAAGCTGCTGGGTGATTTTCTGATGAGAAATTTTCCTTAGCTTGTGTAAATGTTGAGAAAATAACCATGCAGATTATAGCAGATTCAATATTAATCAAAATTTAAACTGCGTAATGAGACCGTTTAATTCATGTATTTCTGACCTTGACTTGTCAGTGTAAACAAAATGTACTGAAAACATTGTAAACAAGCATGTGAATGCAGCGTTTTATACCTTGTATCAGATGCTTCATTTTACTTGACAACGCAGAGTGTTTGCATTAGGCATGCGGGGAAAAACAGTGAAAGGAACATGTACTTCGGTTTTCATTGATTTCTTGAAGGCATTGATATTTTGAAGGGCGAGTCTATGGATTCCTTAAAATTCCCAAGTTTGAATGTTTCAAGAGTATTAAATCTGCCCCAGAAAATGCATTGTGTCTTGTGTTCATGTAATTACTGTTAATCACCCTTGTTTAATTTGCTGTCAGTTCTTTGTACGATGTAAATACTGTCGCTGCACCTGCTCTTTGTGAGGTGATTAATACCTACCCTGGATGTACCTAGAAGTGTCAGTACTGCATGGTATTCTGCATTCTCATTTATCACTCCTATGGAATCGTGCATATATATCTTCAGCTTATTATCTTTTGCAAGCATATTTGCGTCATGCCTGATTTTGTTAATTATTTTGGAATATCTCTTAATCTATTGAAATATCTCCTAATCTCTGTTGTTTAATTCACACAGATGGAAAGTAATCAACTGTATGCCCTGACATGACTTACATATCCCGTGGCAAATGTGAATTTTTCCAACAACCACAAGTTTTATAAAAGGAAAATGCTTGCATCTGTCTATAAATAACTTTTTGGTTTATTGGGGTTTGTTGATTAACGGTTTATCCTATACAAGATTACTAGGAATAGTGGGATAAGTATTGTTATGGCCTGTGCATTTTATATTAGCATCTTTTTTTTTTTAATCTTGGTGTCTACTAAGCAGTTGGACATAACATTTTTTTAGGAACAAGATGATCTGCCGGGTAGATGATCCACTGACTAAATATGGCTGACCTAATCCCCTGATGGTCCCTCTGCCTCCCCACATGTCATTAAACGAATTAAATCTTGGCTCCGAGGTTTAATTGCTAGGCTCCTGCAGTGATGGTGCATGTGAAGGCAGGGAGACCATCAGGGTGTTCAGAACAATAAATTTTCATTTTTATTAATGTTATAGTAATATTTAACATTTAATAAAAATGAAAATTTATTCAGGTCTGAACAAGGGGATTAGCAGCATTGCTTTTAAGGTCGTCAGCCATATTTAGTGCGCAGATCATCTGTTCTGAAATTAGATTTAATTTTTTTAATTTTTTGTTAAATGTTCTTATCTGATATAGGTTTTTAAAAATTCAATGAATTTTGTTTGGCACCAAAAAAAAAAAAGTCCATAATAGAGGTCAATTTTGTTGTAAACTTGGGTTACAAAAAAAATTGCAGTACCACAGTGCATCCCCCATGGTTTCTTTTAAAGAAGTGATTTCAAAATATCCTTTGTATTATCTACAACTAGAAACGTAAACACTTTTGATATGCAGTTACCTAACTGAGCCTTAAGGGTAGACTAGTCCAGTTGAAAAGACTCTTTGTTTTGGTTTGTGTAAACTGTCAACAAACCAGAGAATGTGAATGTCTGGGTTCCCATGCTTAGATTGATCCATCTGGATCGACCTAACTCCCTGAGGGGTTCACGCTAAATTGCTATCAGCTCAAGAGGTTTAAATGTCTGTCACACCTACCGAATCAGCTAGGGGTAAAGATAATTACCCCCTGACAGCTTTACTAGGTGTGACAGACATTTAAGCCGGTTAAGTTGATTGCAATTTAGTGGAACTCCCCAGGGAGATAGCTTGATCCAAATATCTGTGGGAATGGTCTCAATGTCTACCAGTGAATGGCACTGAGGGAGAGAAAATGTACATGCTGTACCAGTGGTATGTATCCAGTAATGCTATGGCTTCTTTCCCAAAAGCTAGCTATAGTTAGGAGACATCGGAAATTATTTTTTATCACTAAATATTAGAGGGCAGAAAATAGCATTGTTTTTTACCCATGCAGTGGTCATTGGATCCTGTTAGAGCTACTCAGTTGTGAAGTGTTTTCTAGTCCTGACATTGCACATAGGGATGTGTTTACAAAGTCCTACTTTCAGTGATGTATGTGTGCACCACTGTCTATTTGCTGTTGATTCTTAAGTGCAGCCAAAAGGTGTCCAACTCTTACTCATTATATTAAAAAGTATTACCTGTGCTAGTGCATACAGCACCTGTAAGGAAATTTTTTTTTTTTTTTTTTTTTGGCCTGTTTTTATCTCTTTTTAATATGTTTTTCAAAAAAGCCTTTATCCATAAACTGTATTGGATTTCTTTCTTAATAAGTTTTTTTGATGATTTCAAGAGTATTTAGTCAGCCCTGGAAAAATGCATTAAGTAAAGTGCTTATGTATTATCCCTGATTACATGACAACTTTACATAATGGTCGTGTAATCACTGTTTAGGCTTGTTTAATTTGCAGTCAATTAAATTCTGTCACTTCACCTGCTCATGGGGGCCTGAATTCTTAACCCTGGCTACCTGGAAAAGCAACTCACGGGATACTGTTTTAATTTACCACTATTGTATACAAGGGCTTGTTTTCTTCACAGGTTTGTTTGTGTCGTACCTTGTTTGTGAATTATTTTGTATTATCCCTTAATCTCACAAACAGCTGTGCTTCTGTGGTGTTAAACTGTGTTAAGTGGTCAGTGTTAATTACGTCAAATCTATGTGTACATACAGCACATTTATAAGTATACAACAAATGTACCAATGTATACTTTCAGTGGTTAATATCTATACACTTCTAGTGTACTGCACTTAAAGCTCATTGAAGGGTATTGTGCATATATGCTGGCACAGGTATATTTTCTTTCTACCTGTTTGGGTGGTTTCTTTGCTATCTTATACAGTAGCACAGAAGCTTCTACAGCTGTAACTGATACCCATTTCACACAACCTCAGTTAGACTTTTTACTCTTATTAACTTCTATCTCTTTTGTACATATTGTACTTAAAGCTTGTTGAAGTGCGTCTTAAAACTGTGCTGTTTTCGTACCTGTGCGTTGTCCCTGATACAGCTGTGCAGTGTTAAGCCTTGTTAATGTGGATCACTTGGCTTGGGTTGACTCTGGATAGCCCCGTACTTAATCCAGGTTTCTTTGGTGGGCTCCTTGTATGTGGACAACCTGTGTATAGACTTGAGACAAAAGATGCTTCGTTGAAAGCAGGTCACAGGTGTTAATGTTCCACCAGGTGTGTTCTCTTTTGTCTCATTCACGTAGTTCAATTTATGCTAGGTCTTCTTTATAACATGGAGAACTTTGATGAAGTGTTTTAGTAGGAGAGCTTTTGGAGCTGTGTTGTCGTGTGAAAACCCGTCTGAGTTTAAGATGAAAGTCTGTAGTTCAAGACTGGGTTAAGTCCTCAACTTCCTTACTCTGAACCTTAAAAGGTGCGTGGTCATGATTAATATCTTTTCACCTGATTGTTGCATTAAATGGGTCATTCGTCTGGGACATGGTTGTGTTGACAGCTATAAATAGACCATGAAATTGTATGATTCCACAGGCTGTGGGGGAGGGGCTGTGACCATATTTGGACAAAGGGGCTGTTCTAAGGAAGTGGTCACTGTCAGTTGGAGGTGGAGTTTTATCCTAATAAGGTAGTTTTGGTAATGTCATTTAATGTCATAGTGGGTTATTAAGAGTTGTGGTGTGATTGAGGATATTTTATTTATCCTTGGCCAGGGTTATTTTTGGAACTGAGAAAGATCTGAAAGATTTGGGATTTTTATTAGGTCCTGTTTATGTGAAGCTTATTTACATTTCTTTTGTCGTGGAAATTCTTTGCAATCCCATTTCTCAGCAAAAGGTAAATTGATGAATAGAGTGAAATGCCACAATTATTTACAATATTATGTGTCATTCAATAAAAAAAAAGAATAGTTTGAGGTGTATTATTAAGTAACAGAAGTATGAGGAAGGGGAATTTATTAAGAGGTTAATTAGTAACAAGTTATAATTAGAATATTATGAGAAGTACGCTATAGTAGTACATGTAGTGGCCTAGCTGTAGCAGTAGCCTGTAGTGATTGTAATTGTAGTAGTTGTTTTACATGTAATTGTTGTAGCAAGTAAACAAATTAGACATGTTTATACTGCAAATATGCTTCATAGACAAAATTAGTTAACAAGTAACCTCAACAGGATCTTCCCATAGCTCATATACACTGTTCAATTTGTAGCCAGGCCATTACTTAGCTTTTTTTTTTTTTAATTGCATTCATGTCCAGTGAGTTCTTTTAAACCTCAAGGTGACTTCTTCATGGCATGATTTGTTTCATAAGCTTCTCTATAATCCTGTACCTGTAGCTGTATAAATCCAATATTGCATATACTCAAAAAGGCATTCACAGGGAAAAGCAGTTTCGGGGGTGTTATTACCTTGATAAGATATCTGATTAAAACACACAGGTTACTCTTAACAAAAAGCATAGTCAAAATATATTTTCCAACCTAAGATGTTAGTGCACATAGCACATTTTCTTGGTGTAAGACTGTGTAAGTGAGTATTTTGAGTATTATGATATGTTTTGTATTATATGATATTCATTTAAAACAGGAGGGAGACCTCTTTCTTGTTGTCACCTGTTCCAAGTTGGAGAGTAATGTACATTGAACAAGAAGTGGTAAACGGGATTTGTTGTTTTCCTGTTTACTTTTTTGACCTCTCCAGCTGCCACTGTTGTCACTGGCCGTCACATTTGTCGTCCCTGTCACCTAGTGCCATATATCTAACCAGTCTGTCAGAAGTGTCGCATTTCTCAGTGTAGGTCTCATTAGAGAGATTATTATGTGAGAGACACGCCACCAGGAGCTTGCCTCCCAAGGTGTGCTTTCATTGATAAAAGAATTAAGAGAAAAATTCTTGCTAACTCTGTTACAGTTATATTTCACCAGTAAAACATATTTCAAGGAACTGACTCACAGACAAGAAATTATATAGTAATGCAAACAGCTAGGAAGGTGTGGGAACATCCATTTGCAGCCCTGTGATGTTAAATTTATGAACTGGTGCTCTGCTTGATCTTGACACAGGCTTCCTGATATTGCAGGAAATACTCATTAAGCCATTAAGAAAGTGACCCATCTTTCTAGTAATGTGCAGAGGAGACATCACTCTCAGGAAATTTACGGACTTGGTTTAATTACACTTTGTCATTCAGTAGGGCTTGGTATGATGATCTTTATAGTTACCACCTTTTGAGGGTAAACCATGAATATTTCACGTGTCATTAGCTGTAGGAGGCCCCTGTGGAGTTTGGGAAAAGGGTGATGGGAAAACTTTATTTTTTTTTTCAGGGGATGATGGTTAAAAGCTGTTACAAATTTTGTGCATGTAAATGTTTTTTTGTGCATTTATATATATATATATATATATATATACATATATACATATATATATATATATATATATATATATATATATATATATATATATATATATATATTGTTGAGCTTATAAGGATTAAAATATTTTCGTATTTAGTATTTTTTTTTTGTGATCAATACTAAAATCTCTCTGCCCCCCCCCCCCGCCTAACTCCATGTCTTGGTCATCTTCATCCTTAATATCTATTTAAAACATTGCACAGGTACTGAGGGTTCTTATGCTCTGAGTTTAGCGAGATTTGGCAAGCCGTCCTATGCACACTAAAATAAGACCCTGTCTCCATACCTAGATCAATCCAGGGGGATCAGTCCATCTCCCTGGGGATTCTCGCTAAATTGCTTTCAGCTTAAGTGGCACGCCTACTGGGGGTAATTAACAATCGCTTAGCAGCTCCAGTATACATGCCAGACATCTAAGCCGCTTAAGCTGAGAGTAATTAGCAAGAATCCTCCTGGGAGATGGAACAATCCCGTTAGATCAATCTAGGTATGGGAAAGGAGACTAAGTGCATAAGTAAATAGCAGAGATTAATTATATTTCCTAGATTACATTGCAAGAAAACTTATTATCTCTTTGTTGACGACTTGATTTTTTTTCTAATTTTAGCCTGCTGAAGACACTGGGAAGGGTGGAACCAATGTGAAGGTATGTAATAACAATAATAATTATGATTATAATAATAGTTTATTCAGACAGTGTTTAAAAAAATTCTAGTAGATTTAATTTCATGAGTTCTTAAAATAGTAATATGTTCATTAAGAGTATGTTAAAGATATAAATACGATAAATTACTAATAATTTTCTAACATACATGTGTGCGTGCGTGCGTGTGTGCATTACTGAATTCCTTTTATTTCCTACTATTCCTTTGTAAATTAATATTGATCTCAGATATGATACTTAACATTTATTTATTCTTGACTTTTTTTATTCATTTGTATACATGCATTCAGTGGCATATTAATTCATTCAATCAGATTTATTATATTTACTAATTATCTAATTTTCTTGTCACTAGAGTGTCTTTTCTAACACTGTGTTTGGTCTTGTTTCTCTTTTGTTCAATTTTCCTCTGTCTGCATGGTGCATGCTGCTTCTTCGATTCTCTACTAACACGGGGGGCACAGCTGCCTAACAAGCTTGGCGGAGACATCAATATACATATCAGTGTTGTTCCCAAGGATGACAAAAAGAAGCCAAAGGGGGCGCCACATGCCAAGCCCAAAGTCAAACCGCCACCCGAAGAGGATGACACTTCAACACTCTTCCAGATTGATAAGTGAGTAATAGACCCTGTTCAGAATGGATGATCCGAGTACTTACTGATCCGAGTACTTACTGATCCGAGTTCTTACTGATCCGAGTACTTACTGATCCGAGTACTTACTGATCCGAGTACTTACTGATCCGAGTACTTACTGATCCGCCAACTAAATATGGCCGTCCAAAGTACAAAAGCGATGCTGCTGATTCCTGATGGTCTCCCGGACTCCACAAGGCCCATTAAACGGATTAAACCTCTGCTCCAAGGTTTGATTACTAGGCCCCTGCAGCGATGGCGAGTGTGGAAACAGGGAGACCATCAGAAATCAGCAGCATCGCTTTTGAACTTTTGGATGGCCATATTTAGTTGGCAGATCAAGTACCCCATCACCTATTATGAATGGGGCAATAGTTACCAATAGTAGTTGCAGTTAAGCTGTAGTCTTAAAAAGTTTGGATTCTCTAGATGAAAGGAATATAGTATGGGAAAGGGATTGGAGAAGGGTCATTACCAAAAGAAATAAAAATTTGAATGAATTTTTTTTTTTTTTTTTTTTTTTTTTTGAAGTTTAATTGTTATTTTGCAAATGTGTAAGTGTGCTACAAAATGATTGAGAAAAAAACAGTTTCTGCTTAATGCAATGTGTGAAGTAGTAAATTTGGAGTTAATTGGTATGTGAATTAACATATATACTGATGAGAGGGCCGATACCTGGTATGTTAAAAAGGAACACTACACTAGCTTAATTCTTGGAAAAAGTTTCATTGTTATTTTTTAAATGTGTATGTGTGATAGGAAACAATGAAACAAATAAGATTTTGCTAAACCCAATGTGTGAATTTACAAATATGTGAATATAAGGCACACCTTATGTACGTCAGACCTTACGTAACCAATATCAAAAAGGGAAAAAGGACGTTTCTGTAATTCTTGTTTTTGAGTTTTAAATGTCTCTTTTTGAAGTTTACGTCATACACTATACGTCAGACTTAAATATAACAAAATAACAAAAACAAGTATTTCCCAGTTTTTTTTTTTTTTTTTTTTTTTTTGTTCTAGTGTGAGTGAAATTCCATCCATATCTAATATGAGAATGTTCCAAAGCTGACAAACTTTTGCCTCTAAAATGGATTTCATATCGATCTTTAATATATACCCTTAAAAACTAAAAGCCTAGAGTTAATGGGAAAAAAATATGCATAGGGTATGAGCTGGATGAGTGGTATCAAGTCATGATGGAAGCTGTTTTATTTTTAACCCTATTGAGATAAATGGAATGAATGGGGGTAAGGGCCTTTCCAATAACATTACCTGCCGTTTCAAAAAATTTTTTCTAGTTGGTTTTTAGCCTCTACAGTTGCACACCCAAACCAAATACTGCATAAGTTTAAATACTTTCTAAAATACACCTATAAAATTTTGTTAAAATAGACATATTCCTGGTAAAAGCTTGGTGTGAATTTCCATTTATGCTGAGAGAGAGCAGAGCCCTGGGATTTTAACAAAGACACTTGGTTAAAAGTATATAACATACATCAGACCAATGTGGATAATTATCATAACTCATTAGATTTGAACAAAATGAATTTATGCATTTCCTCAAATGAATGTTCTTGNAATACCCCTAATCTCTCCCCCTGCCCCCCCCCCTCCCCCCCCCCCCGGCCTAACTCCATATCTTGGTCATCTTCATCCTTAATATCTATTTAAAACATTGCACAGGTACTGAGGGTTCTTATGCCCTGAGTTTAGCGAGATTTGGCGAGCCGTCCTATGCACACTAAAATAAGACCCTGTCTGCATACCTAGATCGTTCCAGGGAGATCAGTCCATCTCCCTGGGGATTCTCGCTAAATTGCTTTCAGCTTAAGTGGCACGCCTACTGGGGGTAATTAACTATCACTTAGCAGCTCCAGTATACATGCCAGACATCTAAGCCGCTTAAGCTGAGAGTAATTTAGCAAGAATCCTCCTGGGAGATAGAACAATCCTGCTAGATCTAGGTATGGGAAAGTGCAAAAGTAAATAGCAGAGATGAATTATATTTCCTAGATTACATTGCAAGAAAACTTATTATCTCTTTGTTGACAGCTTGATTTTTTTTCTTCTAATTTTAGCCTGCTGAAGATACTGGGAAGGGTGGAACCAATGTGAAGGTATGTAATAACAATAATTATTATGAATATAATAATAGTTTATTCAGACAGTGTTTAAAAAAAATTCTAGTAGATTTAATTTCATGAGTTCTTAAAATAGTATATGTTCATTAAGAGTATGTTAAAGATATGAATACAATAAATTACTAATAATTTTCTAACATACGTGTGCGTGCGTGTGTGTGTATTACTGACTTCGTTTTATTTCCTACTATTCCTTTGTAAATAAGTATTGATCTCGGATATGATACCTAACATTTATTTATTCTTGAATTTTTTTTATTCATTTGTATACATGCATTCAGTGGCTTATTAATTCATTCAGTCACCACATTTATTATATTTGCTAACTATCTAATTTTCTTGTCACTAGAGTGTCTTTTCTAACACTGTGTTTGGTCTTGTTTCTCTTTTGTTCAATTTTCCCCTGCCTGCATGGCACATGCTGCTTCTTCGATTCTCTACTAACACGGGGGGCACAGCTGCCTAACAAGCTTGGCGGAGACATCAATATACATATCAGTGTTGTTCCCAAGGATGAGAAAAAGAAGCCAAAGGGGGCGCCACATGCCAAGCCCAAAGTCAAACCGCCACCCGAAGAGGATGACACTTCAACACTCTTCCAGATTGATAAGTGAGTAATAGACCCTGTTCAGAATGGATGATCCGAGTACTTACTGATCCGAGTACTTACTGATCCGAGTACTTACTGATCCGCCCACTAAATATGGCTGTCCAAAGTACAAAAGCGATGCTGCTGATTCCTGATGGTCTCCCGGACTCCACAAGGCCCATTAAACGGATTAAACCTCTGCTCCAAGGTTTGATTACTAGGCCCCTGCAGCGATGGCGAGTGTGGAAACAGGGAGACCATCAGAAATCAGCAGCATCGCTTTTGAACTTTTGGATGGCCATATTTAGTTGGCAGATCAAGTACCCCATCACCTATTATGAATGGGGCAATAGTTACCAATAGTAGTTGCAGTTAAGCTGTAGTCTTAAAAAGTTTGGATTCTCTAGATGAAAGGAATATAGTATGGGAAAGGGATGGGAGAAGGGTCATTAACAAAAGAAATAAAAATTTAATTGTTTTTTTTTTTTTTTTTTTTTTGAAGTTTAATTGTTATTTTGCAAATGTGTAAGTGTGCTACAAAATGATTGAGAAAAAAACAGTTGCTGCTTAATGCAATGTGTGAAGTAGTAAATTTGGAGTTAATTGGTATGTGAATTAACATATATACTGATGAGAGGGCCAATACCTGGTATGTTAAAAAGGAACACTACACTAGCTTAATTCTTGGAAAAAGTTTCATTGTTATTTTTTAAATGTGTATGTGTGATAGGAAACAATGAAACAAATAAGATTTTGCTAAACCCAATGTGTGAATTTACAAATATGTGAATATAAGACACACCTAATGTACGTCAGACCTTACGTAACCAATATCAAAAAGGGAAAAAGGACGTTTCTGTAATTCTTGTTTTTGAGTTTTAAATGTCTCTTTTTGAAGTTTACGTCATACACTATACGTCAGACTTAAATATAACAAAATAACAAAAACAAGTATTTCCCAGTTTTTTTTTTTTTTTTGTTCTAGTGTGAGTGAAATTCCATCCATATCTAATATGAGAATGTTCCAAAGCTGACAAACTTTTGCCTCTAAAATGGATTTCATATCGATCTTTAATATATACCCTTAAAAACTAAAAGCCTAGAGTTAATGGGAAAAAATATGAATAGGGTATGAGCTGGATGAGTGGTATCAGTCATGATGGAAGCTGTTTTATTTTTAACCCTATTGAGATAAATGGAATGAATGGGGGTAAGGGCCTTTCCAATAACATTACTTGCCGTTTCAAAAAATTTTTTCTAGTTGGTTTTTAGCTTCTACAGTTGCACACCCAAATTTAAAATACATTCATAACTCAGTCTTTTCAATGGGGAAAATAATGAATTTTTGAGATATTGTATTTTTTAAAGTCATATATATATAAAATTAGAACTTTCCTGTTGAGTTCACATGATAACAGCAAAATGGAAAAGTAGTCTTCGTTGTAGTTCTCTTCCACAAGTAAAACCTCCACAATAATGTTATTGCTATATATATCATTTTCACATCATTTTCCACATAGATTAGATCAAGTTATTGTCTTAATTGCCATACATGTAATATCACTTTTTTTTTTTTTTTTTTTTAGGACTTGTATATTTTGTGGAGAGAAAGATGAAGCTTTCACTGAGGAAGGCTTAGATGTCCACTACTGGAAGAGCTGTCCCATGTTAAAACGTTGCACTGACTGCAAACAGGTAAAATTTTGTTTTTCTTCCCCTTCCTTCAGTGCTGGTGGTTCATAAGCTGGAGGTAGTCTGCACCTCTTTGATTATTTTAACCATCACACCCCCCACAACCAATTGACTGACCTATACCAGGGTAACAAAGGATGGAGACCAAGAGAGATTGCTTAAGAACCCATTCAGATACCCTAAACATCACTTTGTAACCGCCAAACACTCAGAATCCTTTGATTATTTTTTATGTAAAATTATTGTTGTTCTTTTCATTATTTATTTATTTATTTGTTTATTTATTTATTTATTATTTATTTATTTATTTACAGGTTGTTGAAATTGCCAGTTTTACAGAGCATCAAATATCAGAGTGTGAGGCTAAGGGCAATTTCTCCAAGTGCCCCAGATGTACTGAGGCCATTCCAAATACAGAATTTGATCAACACATCAAAGACAAAACTTGTAATGGTAAGTTTCTCAAGTTGGCTATTGTGGCATCTAAGGGCTGTTTCTTTTAAGTGTAATTTTAGTGCAGGTGCTTGTTATGGCATGTATTTTGCAATTTTACACATGGTTGATTTTTGTAGTCTTCTACAGCTGAAAATGCAGTGTAGTTAATGACACTTTTAAATTTTAAAAACATTTTAATTGTGAACATGTTCACTTTGTTGTTTAGGAATTTGAATAATATATCACTTAGTTAGGCATGCCATGTTGTTGAATTTTTTTAAACTTTACAACATATTTGTCATGGCATTTACCCTTTTAATACAGTTGGAAAACTTCTGAATTTTTTTTTTTTTTTTTTTTTTAGTCTTGCCAATTCAGTCAATTTTCTCATAATTAATGTAAATTTGGAACAAGGGCTTGATAGTTGCAAGTGTCTCATTATTTCGTTTCTTGGAAACCTAGATTGCGTAGTTTTCAGTCATGGATTAGTTCACATGAAATCACCTTTTCTAATTAGCATAACACTGTGTTTAATATTGACTTGAACTACAAATTTTGTTTTCATTATTAATCTTAACTTTATTACGCAGTATGAAGTCTTAGTAACTGCCATGTATTTTGCACGTATCACATTTTCCTGTTTTCTTAGAAACTTCTATATTATGCATTGTGCCATCATTAAGAGGATTATCACCTGGAACTAATTTTTCATTGTTCACATTGTATCACATTTTCCTGTTTTCTTAGAAACTTCTCTATTTTGCATTGTGCCATCATTATGTATATTATCACCTTTAACTAATGTCTTATTTGTTAATTGAACACGCTGGCAACTTTTGGAACAGAGACATAATTAAGATGCGTAAAAAATTACTTTTTCATGCTCCTAGTCATGTTGAAGATAAAGATCTTATCACATCTGTGTTTTATAACCCATACAGCCCATTGAGGCTAAATTGTGTAACCCTGCATTCCAATCTCAATCATTTTTATTTTTAAACCTACTAAATGTTTAAGTTTGTCAATTTAATGAACACGGTTCCTGTCATGTTTCAGCTGCGGTTGCTGACCAGAGTCACTGTCCCCTGTGTCATGAAAATATCCCCCAGGGAGAGGAGGGCTGGAAGAACCATCTCATGGGAAAAGACGGCTGCAAGCACAACCCCAGGAGGCTGCAGGCTTTGAATAAGGCAGGGAAACAAGCAGGTAAATACTACGGCTTTGAGATGATTGTTTTTTTTTTTTGTTTTTGTTTTTTTGTTTTGTTTTTTTGTTTTGTTTTGTTTTTTGTTTTTTTGTGGCTTTGGGACTGATGAGCATGAGTTGGCAAAGAGAAATATTTTTGTTAAAAATTCCATGGAAGAAATAATGGTTCTTGCTCCTTTCTTGATGTCTTTGATCTGCCTGTCGACATCAAATATCTCATGTTCTTGCCCTGATAGAAGGTGTATTGTAATTTCTCACAAGATCTGAACACTACATAGTCTCAAAGGTTTCCTATCTGAAACTTTCCCACCAAAATGAAACTTTCTTCAAAAAAAAAGTTATTTTTTCCCATTCGTCTGTTATCCTAACACAAGATTCAATTAAAAACCTTCTTTTTCATTCTTTGAACATTTTTTTTTATTATTATTTTGTTTCAGGGGGAGTAAATAAAGGAAAGTCCAAACTTCCAATGAGGGGGCGAGGAAGAGGGCGTGGTGGAATACCCAAACGATAACTCATCTCTTTGACACCAGTGGGGTTTCACCATATTAACTTCTTGTTAAATGTAAAAAAGGAGTTGTGTATATTGTGTCTACCAGGAGGATTCCCTAAGGAGTCACATTCAGGGTTGCCAGTATTATGGCATTTGAAATATCTGTCTCTATGTATATGTTGTAAATCATACCAGAAAAAATTGAAATATTTATTGCTAGTTATGCATTAGTATACGTATACTGGTGAAAATGATTATTTGTTTTTCAGAAAATAATTATAAACTTTAAATCAAAGGCCATCAATTGAATATTAAGATTTGTGAATGAACTGGCAGTCCAAAATGTTATATATAAATATTGCGTGTACATGCATACACAAACACACACACGCATGCACACACAAACTTTTTTAGAGAAAAATCTCATTATATTATATCATATATTATATCAGGGATGGGATGTTTTTCCTTCTTGTGGAGGATTTTATCCCTTTTAGATGGAACTTGAAGTTTAAAGGTAGATTGGGTTTTTTGTTAGTGCTATAGAAAACGGTGGGGTGGGGAGGGGAGGGTGGTTGTTTTGGCAGCAGAATTTAGGATACCCTGCTCTATTTACTGAAGTATCTAAATCCATAAGCTAATAGGCAGAGAGTTACTGGTAAATATTATCATTACAATTATGTCTTGATATATCTACTGAAGGTATAATCCACATTTGATTAATACTTTCAGATTTTAACTTTCAAAAAAATTTGTTTTGAGAAGAAATATAACCATTTCATTTGGTTACAATTTACAAAAATTATCATATTTAAAAGCAGCTACATGTAACTCCAAATGCCATAGAGTTCTTTTGTATGTCTCCAAGTGTCATTTTTTGTTTTTGTCACTCTGTTTTGTTATATTCTGCCATTTCAGTGGCAGATATGCTGCAAATAATGTTTTAAGTTCTTTGAGTGTTCCTGTGAGTAAGATGCTGGCATCACTTTTCCAAAGTGGTCATTGGTTGTTGAACAAGTACAGGTGGTGGTGTCCATGTCTTTTCATAAATGCAGTGACTATTTTTTTTTTTTTTTTTGCTCTACTTGTTTGTGATTTTTTATTTCCTTCTCCTCAAAATGTGACCTTATTTTTTAAAGCATTTGTTGAGCAGCATATTTATGTTGCCCTCCGAAACAACTGCTTGAAAATATAAATGATACCCTTAATTTGATTTTTCCTCTTGTAAGTTGTACAAAACACCACTGTAACTCTTTTTATACAAACTCACTTTTTATCTATAACTTTGCTGAGGCTACTGAATTGAAGGAAAATTATTTTAATTCCAAAATTTGTGATAATTTATTTGCCATTCAGTGATTGTGATGTTACTTCTTTTCTTTCCAAAAGTTTAAAAATGTCTCCAGTGTCTATAGGTGCTAATTGTAGGGGGGATAAATTCGAGTTTATTTTTGCTAGAACTGTGATTTTGATATTTTGATTGCGTTAGATGTGATAGCAAGATTGTGTTGGTTGGAGGAAACTTGCTCTCACAATTTTGTATATAATCAGAATGTGTAAGATGTGATGTGATTTCTTATTTACATTTTACGAAACGTGAAAGCAAAGAATGTGTCGGGTGAGACACGCGATTTTTGTTTGAGGGGCTATCTTGCATATCTGGTGTAGCACCATCTAGCGTTGAATTCCAGTAAAAGCGTTATACAGACTATTTGATATGGTGTTGTTTTATTATTGTTACTTTTTAGGTGTGCAAGAGAGACCTACTGCAGTACTGCAGAGTTTAAATGAACTCTTTCAAATTTAATCTTTCCAAATATTACCAATGGAGGTAATGTTTCGTAATGTCTTCTCTAACGCAACTGTCGAGGGGGGCTGAACTTCCAAGATCGTTCAGAGGAGAGTAATTGGGACAATTAAAAAAAAAATTGTTAGTGGAAAGACCTTAGGTTAAGGCACACGAGACATCTATCAACAAAAATTACGAGAAGCATGTCGTGTCTCTCCCCACCCCAAAATTTGTAAAAAAAAAAAAAATATATATATATATATATATATATATATATATATATATATATATATATATATATATATATATATATATATATTTTTTTTTTTTTTTCTAATGAAAATCTCATTTAATTATAACTTTAACGTTAATTTTTACTTAAACATCCTATTTCCGATTGTCACCTACAAACGTGCAAAGAACGCCACCTTCCCTAGTTTTGAAGAATATTTTTCTTTAAATTTGGGCATTTTTTAAAGGGTAAAAGTGTCGAAAAGTGTATAAAAGGTAATAATAGAATTAAGACAGGATCAGGATTCCCTTCATGACCACTACGTTTTTGAGGATTTTTCTTTTCACCTATTCTATCATACACATGGGAGGGTCTTGTTTGGTATTTTCCTTACCCGTGAAACCCACATTTATTTCACGAGATGCGTGAAAGGTTCATTTCATTTAGTGCAATCCGTAAAGCACCCCATTCGGTGACACGTGAATGCGGCTTTTTAGTCTCCGCCCTTCGAGAAACGAAGTCATTATACCCGGTGATTTGTGATTTTCAGGGTTTTCGACGCGCATTATCAGTGAGATATGAATAAAGTATTTTTTACTGTGATTTGTGAATTGATGATTTTATTTCCTGGGTACGGTGATCACCCCCTCCCCTCCCCCAATGGGACCCTCTAACATATCTGCTGAAAACTTCGAAACATTTGCACTTCAATATGCAGGGTAAATAAAGATCCCCATACTGAATATTTGATGGAATATTGGCGATATGTTGTGCAACGTAAGTACAATGATATTCAGCAAATTGATACAGTAGTTAAGGTAACGATATCCTTTATTAACATAACATGTAAATTAAACATAGTATTTAAATGGGTACATTACAACAGGATATTGATTAAAAAACAGACAATATGCAATCAATAATGCTGTACAACCAAGCACAATAAATTCATCTAAGAACAGTTTGTCCGAATGACAAAAAAAAGTTCAGATGTATCAATTAATATATCACAAGATCCCTTCATCGGAGAATGTCTCCTCTAGTTTTTGGGAAAAAAATATGTATATATACACACACTTTACGTAAATGTCCATTACGTAATACCGTCTCTCTCTCTCTCTCTCTCTCTCTCTCTCTCTCTCTCGATCCTGGCTTTTGCGTTTTTCCTTCCTACAATATGTATATTTTTTGTACTGCGTCCATTTGTGACCAACTACGGTTACACACACACACACACACACACACACACACACACACAAATATGTACGACAAACGACCGCAGTGCTGACCAGGGTACTAGTAATATAAAATATTTCGATCGGATGCATGAAATCATTAGCAGCAGTACTGTGGACTTTATCCCAGTTTGACAGTTGTCAATATGACAGCGAGTCCGTATCCCATTCATGTACAGGTGAGCCTCGCCCTAGATTTTGACCCACTTACGTCAGACTAACCCTAACCATCATTATAATTATATGGAGGACGGACTTTTTTTATTTCCCGTGAACTGTGACCACTCCCCCCCCCCCCCCAATGGGACCCTCATGGTCGGCACTGACGCTAAATGTACCGTGTACGCCATCTCTTTATCAAATGGGCGGCCCTTCGAACTGTCGTAAAGTACATTGTACCAACTAGGCTGTGTAAAGAAATGACTTATTAAATATTATCATCTACCTGGCCGTTGTCTGGACCGTGAGAAAAGAATATATATATATATATATATATATATATATATATATATAAAATCAACCCCACCCCTTGAAACACCACCGCCTCAGCCTTCCTCCAGTCTTTGGTCAAAGGCAACGATAAAAGTCACGATGTGCTTTGAACATACCAAAATTTTACGCATTAACCATTTAGAAAACAATCGGGTGCACTATCTTTTAACCTTTTTAACAACATCACGGTGGCGCTAAATTAAAAGGCCACGCAGTCTTCTTCAGCGTGACTCCGCAACTAAATTAAAACCAGGTCCTTCTTCTGTTTTGGGCCCTGGAGACATTGGCCCAGCTGTCTAGAATACCGCCGATGCACTACAGTCGGAATACGATGCATCCACGCCCACCTCTTCCTCTTCCCCGCCCAGCTCAATACTACAACCCGCTTTGGTGAAATCATTCGATGGCGGCTGCCAATCTGTGTTACGCCTCTCCTTGCTTGACCTTGTGACGTTGACCCTCTTGTTGGAATGGACCGTCTTTCTGATCTCGTAAATCTCGTTGACCAATGGCATAATGAGGATAAATGCGCCTGCGCAGAAGGCCCACACCATAGAAGTGATGACCTGTCGAAAGAAACAAATTTCAGTTTACACCATTCTTAAAAGTAAATATAAAACCAGTTTTATTCAACATATAAGAACTGAAAGGCAACAATCCAAGTATGATTATACAATGTACACTTGGTTTATAAAATGTTGTGAGTTATTCACTGTCCCACACCATGATTTGTACATTTACACTGTACATGTACAACACACAAAATCTCCCGCCCAAAACAATATCTTTAAACATATGGCATATGACAGAAATATGATTTTACACTCAGTTAATAACACTTGGTTTACAAAGTGCAGCAAGAAAAGAAGGATGAACGCACTTGTTTCAAACGTGCACATGCACGCAATTACAGTAGCTCGAGACAATTGTTTATATCAGATTTAATTTCTTTTTTTTCCAGTCCCTTTCTCTTCAAGTGATATATACTACATCTAGCAAATAAAATACAATATGAGAAATGATGTACTCTGATATATTATTGCATAGCCATATCCGTGTGTTATGAGGGGCCATGTCGCCGCCCAGAACTCACTCATGTTAACAACCAACTAGTTTTCAAGAAAAAAGAAAACGTGGGAGACAGGGAGAAAAAACACAACATGACGCCAAAAACAAGTTTTATGTATTCTTACCTGCAAAAAGCTTCAATAAGCCATATAGTATTTTACAAAGGCTACATGTACATAAGACTACATAAATTAATAAAAATAAATCCATAAAAGGCCAAGCCCCTATTTGACATATCTTAGCTCCTCTAGCCTATATCATACCTAGAGAAAACTGACATGCGCACACTTACCCATAGTCGAAAAAGATGTAGATCTAAACTGCCCAGGGTAGCCATGATTGCTGGCCATATCAGGATAAACACTACGGAAAGGGTCACAGAGCCCCATATTGATAGTTTCTTTGCCAAAGTGAAGGTCTTGGTAACGTCTTCCAGGGATGGCCTGTTGTCTATACGGTGGGCACCTTGCATTCCGAGTTCTCTGAAAATGACAACAAAACATAACTGTGTTTAATACTGAATGGCGAAACACAGACTCGTATTCGTGGTTCTAAAGTGAAGACAAATTATCAATAAAGTTCTAAAGTGAAATTTTGAGAGGCACTGTTCCGGCAAAAAAAAAAAAAAAAACACCAAAATGCACTTCCGGCCAATGCGTCGCCGTTATAAACACAGTTCAACACAGGTCAGCACAGACTAAATAGAAAAGAACTCATCAATGCCACCAAATGTCATGTAGCAGCAATTGACTCTCAATCTCATTCTCTTAATGTCTGCTTTGATTGTCACTTGCTAAAACAGTTTAAACAACAGCCCGAGGGGTTTCCCCTCATATCACACTACCTGACGTAAGTCTCAGCCCACGGCTTCAAGGGATTGTCGATATCCCGAGTGTTTTCCCAGGTTTCTTTTTTGGACGCATCGCTTTGCTGTTTGCTCCCTATCACGCTAACAATGACCGTCACAAATGCCCCGGTCAATAAAGACACCAAGTTTCCAGTCAACATGCTGAATTCTTTTCCTATGCGGGGAGAAACGAAACGAATGAGAAATCTCTCTCTCTCTCTCTCTCTCTCTCTCTCTCTCTCTCTCTCTCTCTCTCTATATATATATATATATATATATATATATATATATATATATATATATATATATATATATATTAATGATTGATAGATAGATAGATAGATAGATAGAATAAGATATATATTAAATCAATATTGAAATTGGTAACAAGGCATTGGCTCTAGACTCATGCCGTCCATAAAACTACGAAAACAAAATAACCATTCTTTGAGTAACCAAAAAGCAAGCACATCCTGATATTGTATATAACGATATTAATACAGCTCATTCTCTGTTTCATATGCTCTGTTTTGTGTGTGCGTGCGCTACATGTGCTCGCGTGTGTGTGTGCGTGCGATAGGAGAAAGACATTATGAACCCAGTGCTGGCGCAATGTTCACCATCTACATGTACTGGCCATGGTAAATACCTATTGTCCACTATCGATAGTGTAATATTCATGTCCTCACCTGTACTTTCGCGAAAATCCTGAAGACCACCGCCATATGTTGCTGCCACTATTAGCCAACTTCCTGTCCCAAGGCACGTTCCCGATAAGGCACCGAAAAACATTCCTTTTGACGTCAGACGCTCCCAAAACATCGCCAGAATTATCGGTAATACTGCTGAGCCTATCAGAATGCCCATAAAGAGATACACCCAATTCAGGCTGACCTATGTGTAAAGGATAACAATGAATGAGTAAATATTCTGGTTATATATTTGATCAAATTTTTTAAAAATTTTGATTTCGGATTACAACATGCTGATAGCTACGCATAAAGGACGCGTGGTCAGACGTGCAATCCAATTTCTACATGTGTACTTCCTGACCCTTTTGCCTGAGACATAATCCCCTACTGTATTTACTCGTACTTTATAAATACCAAAGAGTACTCCCACCTCTAAAGCATCCAAGAACATCGTGAGGGGGATGATTGCTACAGTTGTCCACGTAATGCACCAGTTCTTCAAACGACCTAGATATTCGTGGTACTTCTTAAAATTCCCGTGGATACGACATTTGAAATCCGGCTTCAAGGCCCGTTTACAAGACTCCCGGTTTCTGTAACAAAGAAACCAAAAGGTCATGGTGAAGTTTAAAAGGAGGGCACAGCAAATGGCCTCATCAACGTCAAGGGTAAATTTAAGGACGTGGTTCAAGTTCAAAGAAGAAAATGGGATGGGTATGGGGTCCAAAAGCAACAGAAAACTTTAGCCCTTTCCCAATCATGATTCTCATGATTACTTGCATCATCAACATGTTAATTTAATGTGATACTGATACGTGTAGGTATATGATTTTATCCCGTATTTCATTTTTTAAATCCATATTGCCAGATTATCAGTCTTAAGTTTCTTTGTGAGAGGGACCCCTCACGAAATGAGCGCTAGACCTACATATAGCAAAATAAATAAACATATGCAACCAAAATGAAAATAATTTCTGGACGTTAAAAAAAACCTTAGGTTATATCATATCCAAAATTGTTGAAAAATAAATTTACAAACCCGTTTTAGAGTTTTAAATTTCTGTTTCTATCGAAACGAGTGAAATTTTTTCTTCTCCATTCCCTACACAAGAGTGCCGTAAAGTAAGAAGCTTATAAATGAAAAACTGGTTTTAGATTGCAATTCTGGAAATTCTCTGGTGTTTGAAGGACACTGTAAAAACTTCCAAGAAAGATATCATTTTGCTATATAATCCCTGGACGACGGGATACTCACGCATTATCTTCTTCGCAGTCTGCGCAGTGAGTGATGCTCTCGCAGTTGCACGTGTCCTGTTTATGAGCTAGTCGACCACGTGCTCGTCCACATAGTATGCATGAGTTGGCGTCCAACACCGCCCTGAAAGGCTGGAACACATCATATTCACATGTAACACGCTTGTTGCAATATTTAAAATGATTTATCAAGTCTTTTAGACGTGTTACATGTACTAGCAATTACTCGTAGACTGTTATTATACCAAGTTATTATTGGCATGTCCTTAATAAATCACGAGGTGGGCAAATCCAATTACCAAAACGATATAAGTTTTCTAAATATATACACCTCATACATATATATATATATATTGAATTGTACAAACCAGTATCACACACCTAGATATACAAGTAGAGTAGGTCTTTCTTATACACCTGTATGGCATATAAAACTCAGCATATGCCTTGATAAAGTTAAGGTGTATCGTGTAAACCAAAAGGAATCTAGAGATCATCACATAAACTTTGATATAGATTTGGTTTGTCATTGCCTTGTATACCGGTCATATACTTTTGAATTATATTGGTTATATGTTGTATACAATGTACCAATATAAAATATTGGAACCATCACATACCTTAATATAGACTTGGTAGATATCATACACCAGTATTGACGTCACGGCCATAACCTCAGCTGATCCAGTGGAAATGATAGCCATCATAATCATGACGATTACCATTGTCTCCCCAGTTGACCCCATCACCTTTTGAGCAACCAGGGGTGGTACCAAACCTGAAAACAAGACAGGAAGTATTACAGATCTTATTCATGATAAGTACCCATGATAAGTACACATTACGGAGGTAACTTAAGTCTCACTGACTTGCATTCTATTCTATTCGTTTGTCCAATAAACAAGATAATAAAAAATTGTAACTTAAGTCGCACTGGCTTGCATTCTATTTTATTCTATTCTATTTGTCCACTAAGCAAAATGATCCAATATTTATACACACCACCGTAATTGAAACCGAATTTTGTAAGAACCAGTGTATCTGACTTCAGATCAGAGACAGCAATACCTGCTTTAATATGAGAAGAAGACAGCAACTCAGAGCCTTCTTTTTCAACCAGCGCTATGAATGCTAAACCCATTGTTGTAGCAAATGAGAACGGCACTGAGAACCAAGTGAGTCCCCCAAGAAGGAATCCCCATACGCCTTGTTTTGGTCTAGCAGCAACACTGCTCTGCCAATATGATTGGTCGACGAAAACGGTGCCGAAGTTTCCTGAAAGTATTCCATATGCCGTAAGCATGATTTAGTTTAAATATTGCATATCTGAATGGACTTGAATATTGTTTCAGCATTACCAACTTTGTTCAACTTAACTGACTCACTAACAAAACAGTATCCGAAACGCAATGAGTCTACAGTATGCAGTTCACATATTTCATCATGAGTAAACAGTAAACTAGTATATTCATTTTATTTCTTCAATATTGCTCATTTTGGAAATCACAAACAAGAAGTGCAATGCAAGTACTTTGTTAACATACCAACAATGTTAATTATTCCAAATGTGAGACCAGAATAGGAGCGAAACGTTAAAAAACTGAAATCTTCATTTTCTGCAGGCCCCATACTTCTGTTCAGATAATGGTACACTTTTTCTACTGAACCTAGAAAATAAAGAACACTCAAAACATGTTTTTGAATATAATCAAAAGATTAATTCTTAATCTCTCAATTCGTGCTTTTAAATATTGCGATACAATGAAGAATATAAAAATAGCATTTATCGATCACTTAATAAAACAACAGACATTCAAATGACACCATGTCGAATTGCAATCGTACCTTTATTCCGTCTTATATATTAAAGTAAATTTTAACAAACTCTGATAATTAGTGAAAAGATGGACATGCAAATCCATATTTCCAAATAATATAAAATAGATACCATATAGCTATACTTGTTTTAATAATCAAATCACAATCCATTAAAATGATCTTGTTTTGCATTATATATATATATATATTTATGTAACTATACCTAGTGGATTTTGTTCGTTGTCTTGGTCCACGTACACTTTCATTATAAAGGATAACATCGTGATGAATATAATGCCCGTATTGAAATAAGACACATAGAATGTGGCCCCCAGACCCCCAATCATTGTGTATGACCCTATGACAGCCGTCAGCAACAGCGTGGCCATTTCTGTGCTGAGATCATGGACAAGGCTCTTCAGGACTGCAACGCCACCTATAGTAAAAAAAAATAGGCAAGTGATTAAACTTGCATGCATTTTCAAGGGAACCATCAGGGCCGGTTTCAGAGTAGAATATCAGTGCAAAATAAATCCATGAATGGTTGTCCACTTACGTGTAAATAAAGCAAGTATTGCTTTGAAACATTAGTGATGTCTTTATTATTATTCATTAATTGGACTGCTATTTTTTTATCATGAGCCATGTTTTATCGTGGGTTGAGAAAAAGGCTTTTGTCGCAAGCGAAAATCGATGGCAATTAAAAAATTCAGACGTCTGTCCCGTTCAGTCGCTGAACATAGAGTATTACAGTAATGGGGAAAATTCTGAATTTTACAAATTTAACTGTACTTTTAGGCACACTTCCTTAAAATTAGAACATTTTCATGAAGCGATAGCAACAAAACTGAAAACAAAAAACAGTATGTATCTGAATATTTGCAAAGATTTGCCCATTGAGATGATCGTGCCATTACCGTACTAATACTTACCCAACATCAACATAGCAGTAACGATGACGTTTGTGGTGAGGGCGAACATACAGTAAACAATGTGGGTCTTCTTGTCAAAACGTGCCCTTATCACTTGAAGAAATGTCTTCGCTCCTGGCGCACGTACCTTTGTTTGAATAAAATGCGAAATGTTGATTAACATCTTATTTGAGTGACAGCCAGAAAAGGGATAAAAACTGTTTGTTTTGTTGAAAAAGGGACTTTCCTGGGGTACACGACGCTTTTTCTTAACTTGCCAATGGTTAATTGATCCATTTCGACATTCAAAGTTGGCCCATGTTTTTTTAAAGTTTGGGCTTTTGTAATAGTTTGTTAAGAGATTACTGCGAGGTATAGCCATCGACGAGGTCCACTTGGTCTGATGTCAAGCACAGATTTCAGAATAATTGCGCCAATCGCTGTTTTGGTAGTTAAATGGAATTTAATCATACATCTATGAATTATTTACAATGTGTTTATTGTAGAATACGAATCGCATGCGAACAGTTGTTATCCCTTTAACAACAGTGCTTTTGTTTGCTATTCTATTTTCGGGAAATTGGATTTATAGGCGGTTCAGCGCAACTTTATTACTATTAATCGATCCGGCCTTCAGTGCCTGCTTATCTAAGGTAAACATTGCGCTTGCACATGATTCTGGCCTGACGGTGTACAGAAGACAGAAGACACGCAATTTACGTGACATACAGGGAACCATAAATTGTTATATTTTCGATTTCATAAGACTTTTGTCTTTGCACAGGCGCGATTGATGGTAACCCAACATCTTTATGGGAAATTATGTTCATCTTTTTTTCTTCACGTTTAAGTCCATCTTTTTATTTATTTATTTATTTATTTTGTCATTTAAATTCACAACGATAAAGAGGGACATTTGCCGCTAGAACAACATGTACAGTAGTGGCAGCGGTTCTCCACAAAGTGGTGTTGACAAATGTAAACTGCACGCAACACTGTCATCTGGTGCCAAACGAACTGAATTGCCCCATGGGACGGACATGGTAATTATCAAAGCCATGCGCGTCTATTAGTGGAAATATAATGTTTACCTTCAACTGGACGGAAAGCATCGCATATAGTAGAATCTGTATGGTAGCGCCCGCCGCATACCAGTAGGGGCCGCTTATGCCATACTGGAATGGGAAATGAAAATATTAAAATAAAAACAAAAAACGTCCAGTGACGTGTTGTCGTCACATCGACTCAAGTTATTTTGCGAAACAAGCTGTTGGTGTGTCACACCCTTTTCACATTTGAGCAGTACAAGTAACTGTATGGCACCATATTGACTGGTGCTACCATCGATGTGATAAGGCCACGAGAGTGGGGTGGTGTTACTTCCTCCCACAAACCATTACAATGTAACTACAATGTTTCATTGAATAAAGGTATACTTTCGCCGTTAGGGAAGCTCTGTTACAAGGCTATTAAGCTATCAGACTACTCCAACTGGTGCGATACAGAAACCTGCACTGCTTTATGAAAAAAGAGCCTAATTCTCCTTTCACGATATGCCGATTGTGTTTAGTTGTGACGTCAATGCGCGAAGGAAGTTTGGGTTGACGGTTATTTTAGATTCAAATGGTCGTGAGCTTAAAGCTGTATGCAAAGAGAAAGTGAATTTTTCATCAACATATTTAGATAAGAATTGGCTCTGTTGATATTTTGAGCAGAAAATTCTATGCTATTCTATTATCAACAATTAGGGTTCTTTCATTATAGTGGGTTATTTCATTTATGTTTTCTGACAGTACTTCTTCAAACCCGAAAAGCACAGACAGAAAAATATTTTTATAAATGTATAACAATTATGAAACATTCAACTAGCAATTAAAATTTCTTCAGTATTTTGTCTTTAAAAATAAACGTCTGACGTTGAAAAGAAGTCGAAAAACGTTCAGCATTAACAGTCACTCTAACTAGTCACTACTGTACTCAGAACTGAAAATCTAGTGCCCAGAATAGTACCACTTTGGATAAGTTTAGTAACATCATGAAATAAATAAAATGTGAGCAAAAACAGGTGTTTAATTGCTTAAATGTGAATGGTAACTAACTACTGCTGCCAAAAGATTATTTTTCACACATATTCGAACAGGCAGTCGCTATGGAAATAATTCAGGACTATGAAATAATTCAGGACTATGCATGGTCGTTGGAACCCGAATAACTATTCTTCCCGTTTAAGCGTTTATTCGGTACACAAAATATTTCCTTGCCTATAACGTTTTTCCCGCAAGCAATATTTTTTTACTTAGCACAGTACTTGATAAAAACCACTTCTCCTTTGCACATACATGTAGGTCTTAAGTCAAGAGCTGTTCAACTAAGTCACGAACTCGTTAAATACACATTGACGTGTTTTCTAGTTACTGGCTTAAATAATCAACGCCAGGTCAGTCACTCGCAGAACGAATCCGTGCCTGTTAAGTAACACAATGCGTATTTTGCTTTCATGCTCATATTCCTATTGCTACATTCTCACTGAACGCAGACTTGTCTATGGGATCTTCAACTATCTTAGATGATCCTTCTTTTTTATTGTATTAAAAAGAGATTGCAAGGGCATTTTAAAGAGGTGTCGAAGACATGGGTTCACCCTCGTTCTCTGTCTTCCAAGGCGTGGGCAAAGTGATCACGAGAAGACCCTGCATACCCTTCACAGGAACTACATTTTTCACTTAATGTTGACAGAAATGCCTCTTGCGTATTCCAGGCAATTATTTCTCCTGCGTTAATTTTCGCTTGAAATTATTCTCAACACTCCACTGGCCTCGGGTATATAGTGGGCCATAAACATGTATGAGTAATTATCGCAAGGGAAGCGTGTTACTCAACCAGCGGCCAAGGTTTAGGTCAAATAAAACACACGTCGCCAAGCTGCACGTGAAGTAAAAAATTACACGTAAATTGTATCGCCTGCGGTTCACCAATCCACTCGTAATATTTCACGTACAGCTCGCCAACTCGTTTTGTATCTATCACATTTACTTAAACTAGAACCTCCTTAGTGGTCGCCTCTTGGTCTTAGTACTGTCATTGTATCGAGTGGCTCGAAAATAAAAACGTTACTTATTTCAAATAACTTAAACAGTTCACAAGCTGAAAATTTGCAAAGATTTTTGATACCTTATTATTTGGCAATCCTGAATATTTTCTAGTGCGAAGGCTAAACGGTTTTAATATTATTATCAAATCAGAAATTCATTGGCAGGTGTCAAAACTGTCAGACGCAGGAACCTGTCTGCTGCACATAAGAAATATCCGTGAGATTCAGCATTTGTTTCAAGTTTCGTTTTCCTAAATTATCCCAAATTTCATTGCAATATATTCAAAACTGGTGAAAATAATTAAACTTTTTGGCATCAACAGGGCAGAATGGCCATTCCAGTCACCAGACGCGAACCCCATTAAAAACCTCTCGAATGAGATTGGAAATCATGTGACAAAGGATTGCCCCTTTACCAGAAACGCTCTAACCCATAGTTTCTTCACAGCCTGGTTCAACATTGCCCCAAAAGATTACTGAACCGTTAGCATGCTGTGCACAGAAGAATGGTCGTCATATTCACGTAGATATCCAACAGAATATTAATACTGACACTATAACATGCATTGTACAAGGGCACATCACTGGTCTATAAACCTGTAGTAAGGGTACTAACTTGACATAACCTGTTTTCAATAAAATGCTAATGGAAAAACCTTACAGAACCAGCTTTTGTTCACCTTTAAGCATCAGGGAGCAATACTTTGGTCAGTCCTCTGCATGTATCTCAATTTTAATAAACACCTCTGAAACTACAGTATTGCTATTATTATTTATCGACTTACCATTGCCGCCACGGCTGACGACTGGAGCAGAGTGGCTGCCCAAATCCACTGGGACACAATGGTGGTGGCCGTCAACCCAACAGACACGCGACCTCCGGCGTCGAACACCGTATCCAGGTTATCCTGCCACAAAGAAAAGGGTTTCAATTATATATTTTTTGCCTCAGAAGTTTATGGAATACTTAAAGCGCCTAGTTGTGATTATATATATATATATATATATATATATATATATATATATATATATATATATATATATATATATAATGAAACTGTGAATATACTGTATGTTACCTATGCTGGGTAATAAGAATAATGCTTTTAAATAGGCACATGAGGATGGAATCACGAAGACCAGTTACAGTCATTTCAACAACTATATCTAAACTTTAATGTTTGCACACCAATCTCTCTCTCTCTCTCTCTCTCTCTCTCTCTCTCTCTCTCATGCGTGTAAGCAAAAGACCACACACACACGCGCGCGCGCACGCGCATTGGTCCCCATACAAATAAACGCACACACTTACATACGCCAAAGAAAACAAACACGTTCTCCTACCTGATCCCTGTAGACATTTCTCCTGATATAATTGAAGGCCATCGCAGTCAAGTTGAAGAACAATCCGAACACGGCTGACATGAGGATCAGTTGCCAGAGGTCCATGTTTGGTTGGACTCCTGGCGGACCTACAGTTACATTGAGACTAGGGGTTTCGTATCCCATCTTGTCACAGTCACGGGGACGCTCGACTCACCACCAAACTATGCAGCTATATTGAGTTAATGCAGCGGTAGACGCTTATTAATGTGCAACAACCTGACGTGAAATTTCGGATTTTGAAGATACTTTTCCAACAAAGGCACCTTGATATAGAGTTTTCTGTTTTGTTAGTTATTCAACATTTGTGGATTTCTGAAGGTTACACAGCCCAATTAAAAAAGTTCTTTGGCGCACCGCCGATGGCCAACCCGACGAAGACTCCTGCGCTGTCGTTTCTACCGCATATCAACCCTCAACTCTTGTTTTTTCGGGCAGCGATATCATATATTCAACGCTAAGGCCTTCCTGATAATTCTTATTCGACCTGTGCTATGACATCACAATATAGTATGATGGGGAGTTATCAGTAATTTTGCTGTAACTAGGGAGTCTTATTACTTCATATCACATGACAGATGACATGTCTTCACAGGGGTTTGATGTCAAATCCTGCAGGATTAACAGCGTCAATGTCTTATATCCTGTATTGCTTAATGAGCAAGTCTTAACTGTTGGTGTTCTTTTCAGTCTTCACGAAAATGTGGAATACTTCTGAACTGAATTTCAGTTACTGCTGGTGCCCAATACCCCACCATGAGCGCTTTTATTCTTATTTTTGATATTCCTCTGATTGCTGCTAGATTTCAATGATGTCACACTCTTTTTATATTATTGTGACTTGGTTTTCCGCTTTTAAGTTTCTTTTCAGCCCTGTAGAAGAGGTTCCATAATCATAAAAGGTGCCCCGATATGAGTGTAGGTGTCCACTGCGCCCTGGTAGTCCTTATTATGCTTCTAAAATCACTGAAGTCAAAAATACTGAAGTCAAAATCACTGAAGACAAAATCCTTGAAGTCAAAATCCGTTTATTCTGTTCGCTGGCAAATTCTCCTCGTCACCGTGATTTGAACTCGGTATTATATCCGTGTTTTCTAACAGATTGTTTTCCACAAAAAAGAGCAGTCTTTGCGTTATTTGGTCTGGTTGACTCTTATAGTCAATAAGCATGTTTACAACCATCTATCGCTGAGGCACGCAGCGTTTACAGCATTCACATTATATAACAAAGATTTTCGGGATATCGTAGCCCTTAGATTTAATCAGTTGTCTAAATTATCGTTAGTTTCAAACTGTTTGTGCGATGAAAATTCCCAGAATGTGCTTTCGGATAAACGAAAATAAACGACAGTGCGAGTCACATTGCAAGAGAACAATGCGACTAAGGTTTTTCAGCGAGCCTTTCCATATGTCAATATATCAACCTATCGTGATGTACCATATCGAATATCTGTGGGCAAACTTCTTTGTTCCCTCTGATATGAGCTACAGTGTACAGGGATCACTTTCACTCTGCATGATTCTATCTCTGCTTCGTGACATGGAATAATTATCCTATTTGACTAAAAAAATGACATGGATTTTTTTTGCGTTTTATTAGTATGTCGACTCGTAAGAAGTGTCTCTTCATGCAAGTGTCTCAGATACCAATACATGCACATGTACCAGTGAAAGAGTTTTTAACACTATACTTGTATACGACACAGATAAACGGGAATTAGACGCTGTCTTGATGAGTGTGAGGACAAGGCCCATCACTTATCGAATTGTCTTCATAATGTGGCACTCTGCGTCAGTCACTCGCAATTTCCGTCGAAGTTACACCAGGGCTCCGCGAATTGCGACCGAGCGCAAGCATCTCTGCTCTATAACTCCGGATTTACTCGCCCCATGTAATAGCCTCGAAATAAAAGATGTTATTGCTCTTCGCAATTCGCGATGCTTTCAAGTTACGGAGCTCAGATTGCTCTGACTTAACTCTATCACAGGCAAAAATAAATAAATAAATAAATAAATTAATTAATTAATAAATAAAAAATAATAATAATAAATTAAAAAAATAAAAAATAAGCTTTTGTCAGTACATACTGTATGATAAAGAGTTTTTCATGTTCCTTGTTGTTACTAGCAGGAGGCTCATTGGTTTTTGCGACTTTTGCAACGGTTGCATCGTAGAACCAGTACAAAGATATAGGAAATTTATTCAATATATTAATATTGTCACCTTCCATAGTTATGGTTATAGGCGTTAATTATACCCATGGGAAATCTCATATATGACATCGATATACAGACTTGACATTTGATATGGAATATTTTAGTTTCAAAGATGTGGCTAAGTTAAATGTACATGTACTATTTATTTCTAAAACGTGTATTTCATGTGAGTTATGAGAATAGACAAATGTGCAGTCAGGTGTGTCAGTATCAATAATTAATTAATTAATGAATTGACTACCTCGTCTAAAGCACTGCTGCGTTACGTAATATGCGGTGATATCTTTGGGTAGTACTCTTTTGGCTGGTCCAAGTAAGACTACGGCAGAGCATGGTTCAGTCAAAAACAGTCTCAATATTTTCGGCAACGCCTGCACAGAAGATTTTGGCATTTTGCATACAAGTAGCGGGTGTTAACGTGAGTAAACTGAATGAAGCATGAAGTGTTACAGCATCGTTGCTATATGCGCCAGAATGACACAAAACAAATCGACATTGCCAGACAGATTATTGTGTTGCAAGGAACGCTCAGCGCAGGCGTACAGAAGTATGCCAGGACTGGTGGACCTACAACAGATCAGGCCCAAGACGTCCAGAACTTACCGCCTTTGGCACCAACGCAAACTTTTTGAAGAGCTTACTTTCCAGGAAACAAAAGAATGCTGGAGAACAAGCTCTTCAGATAACAACAGAAGTCAACATCTAGTCATCTAGCAGCAATAGGCCTATTGGTCCTGTACCGTGAAACTGAATTTTAAGATAAAGCACAATTGGAATTTATTTTTCTTATGCTGACCACAAACTAACTTCAGGTCAATTTTAAGGCTACATATGTCTTTCTACGGATCCTTTTTGTGCAATATAGATACACAAAAAATAATTAAAAATTTTTTTTTAAACGCACCTTACTTCAAAGGTCATTTTTGCAAATTAAATTAAAACTATCGTGTATTCACTGGGAATTAATATACGTGTATTCAAAGAGGGTCTGAGACGTCTGGTTTTTCCCTTTAAACGCTTAAAAAATGCATAAATAAGCATTGTCATGTTAGAAAATGTTGCTGTCACATCTAAAATACATAAGGGCGAATTTGTTTATTCGAGCTGTTGGCGTAACACCAGCGTTTTTTGGAATGAAAACTACAACATAGATTTCAAACGGATCTTCCTGCTCTGAACGGCAATCAACACCGTATTGACGCATATAATCCACAACAATAAACACTATAGTCATTGCCAGGAAAGTATCATGCCAGGCTTATTTCTCTTTTTCTCAATTACGAGGCGAACTAAAGCCGTTTGTTAATTGGTATGTCGAAAATAGGGGCTTCTTTCTCCTAAGCAACGAAACAAACAAACAAACAAAATCCCAATGATACTTAATTGTAGGTGGCACCGTAGTCGTCAACCCCATGCCTAATTTTAAAGATAATATTGAGCTTAGTTCCAGAGTAACGGCAGAAGCAATTGCTGCCGCGACCCTATTAAAAGAGCAGCTAAATCGTCGATAAATGCTCGGCCAGCCTGTGTGCAACTCTTAGCTCGAGGGGGACGTGGTCACCGAACAAAAAAACAAAAATGGGGTAAATAAATGTAAACATAGAATGTAAATATTCTCCTTGCGCAAATGTAAGATAAGTATTTTATATATAAAAAAGTGAAAGAACCATTTTTCAACTAATGGCATTTATAATGTATTAAACTCCATTCAAAGCGTACAATGCGAGTAAAACTTACCAAGTTAAATTTCCTGGGGGATTCAGTAACTTTCCTTATTTACCAAGGTGTATCGACCCATGACTGTTGATAAAATACCACATTCTATAAATACTAGAGTTCTTAATTGCTACATGTATTTTACTTTGCAGTGAAATTCCTCAGTCTCTGTCTTCATTTTAAAAGCGACTGAAACTTTTTTAAAAAATTCGTCAATGGAAGATTGCATGTGCAGGAAAACGTTAAAGATATTCCATATAGAAGCGTTGGTCCGCTCCTCTCTCACAGTAATCAGAAGTGTCTTACTTTTCCCTCAGTAAACGTACGGATGAGTACATAAGACGGTAAAAATAACCTGCTTGTTTTATACTGTAGACAATAAACATCTGCCCTACGTTCTCTTCTCAACCTACTGCTCTGGTTACTTTTCAACTCATTGTCTAGATAAAGATCATCCCATATGTATTTGTTATAGATCTAATGCGAATATTCGGTTTATTCACCCAAGCGTAGAATCTGAGACTAAGGGTGTATTCCCAGAGCTTTAGATCGATCCAGGGATTAAGATTTAGATCGACCTAACTCCTTGGGGGTTCAAGCTAAATTGCAGTCAGCCGAGCGCGCACCATAGTTAATTACCCCCTTACAGCTTTCAGTAGGCTGGACAGACGCTTAAGCCGGCTAAGCTGACGGTAATCTAGTGAGACTCCCCACAGGGAAAGATCGATCTAAAATCTATGGAAATGGGGTCTAAGAGCAAGGTGCATGTATGCGGAAGTCTCGGTTAGTCACGATGAATAAAGCATTTCCTTTGCCGTCAGCAGTTCACCTTAACAGTACACGGCTGCAATAGATTTCAAAAGATGGCGTGCCAACAGCTCGAACGCATGTTTACCTCTCTAAAATAACCTCTGCAAATGATCTTTTCTTATGATGATTTTATTTATAGCACCTCTTACATATAATTTTTGTGTTAAGTTCATGATATTTTTAACATCATCCTGTATACCCACATTTCAAAAGTTTAAAAGGCACGATATTTGAATCTGAACGCGTTCTAAATAACATACGTCAAACACAACGCTGTTTCCTGAGCGTCGAATTCCGGTTCCAAATCCGCCATTCACTCCACCAAGATTCCCAGGTGGTCGACGGAAACTAAACAAAGTGTTTGACGTTTGTTAATGAGCCTCTAGAAAAAAGGATAATGTACGGTATTTTATTATCCTATCTAAAGGCCACGGGAAACCTCTTTCATAGCATATACATGTATTTTATATTGGCGCTGACAGAAAGAGCAAGGTATACATGCATATGTCCACAGTACTGGGTAAAAACGATGGGACATGGGCATCAAAATTTCAACATGGCGCCAATCTTGTGAGCACGCTTAGAATATACATTTATTTTGCTTTCATAATTTTTGGAACATTAAACACATATAGATATTATCAGAGAAGAATCGATTCCCTACACAGTTGGGAAACCATG